GATCACAAGGAGCAAAGTAAGGAAAATCACAAAGAAGCTAACGATGAAAACCAAAGGATCCAAAATTATTCTGGTGATCCCGAAACTAATGTGACTTCTCAATCCCTAAAGCCCCCAGRCCTTGTTAATGATCAGCCATCATTTGACAAGAGTGATGGTACGAAAGAGGAGAAAACAGGTTCAACTGAAGACTCCCGGCAATACCAAACAAATGAAAAKATTCATAATAATGTGACAGAAGAGCACGCCAAATCTGCCGCAGATATTCAAGCAGAAGAAATACTTCCTTTACCTCAAAGTGACGAACCAATCATCCCAATCAACAATGATAATTTAAGCACTAAAAATAATGACACCGCAGGACCTTCTAAGGATGATGCGATGAACGATCAACGCCCTTCGGCAGCTAACATAGCATCATTGTTACAGCATGACAAAGATTTTAATGGTCCTAAAGTCATCTTTCATCACCCTATKGAGGCTTTGACGGCATATCAAAATCACCTCCAAATGAAAGGTGAAGAAGGCAAGAATGAACAAAACATAAAAACAACGGGACACGACGAAACAAGTGGAAAAGAAAACACCCAGGYAAAACCAATGGGACAAGATAACCAAGTCATTACTAAGGAAGATGGCAAGACAAATGATCAGGGGGTCGAATTAACTGGACAAGGGCAAACAAATGGAAAAGAAAACGCTCAGGAAGTACCATCAGCACAAAGTAATCAAGACATAACCAAAGAAGATGGCAAAACAATGGAACAAAAGGAAACAAGTGGGCAGGAAAAAGGAAATGAAAAGCCATTGAGTCAAGCCACCGTTAAAGAAGACAGCACCAACGAGCAGGGAAGAGCAGAAGAGCAGGCAAGTGGGAAAAGCAAAGCAGATGAYACACAGCAGAGTAATAATGATCATTCATATCCAAAAGAAGATAAGGCAGACAGTCAAGTCATTAGATTGACGGGGAATGGAGATTCGTTTGGTAATGAGAAAGCACAAGAAACAGCCGAGCATAATCAAAACAAGCCACTCGAACAGGATATTAAGATGACAGGTGAAGAAGTGATTGGAAATGGAAAACCTCCAGAAAGCAATAACCCGGCCAATCAACAAGAAGATGTAAAAGTAGTAAGCGAAGAAACTATCTTTGATAAAAACGGTCAAGAGAAAACTGAAAACACAAACCCAACATTTCTAATGGACCAAGCAGGAGATYCGAATGAAAATGAAAATGTTCAAATCAAGCCGGAATACAARGATTTTGTGGATAGGAAAGTGGGCAGCGATACCCCTCCTAATCCAACGGTTGATATCTTTATGGATGATGCAAGTGATGACACAGCTGTTCTTCACGCGAGAAGCAAAACGGATAATGCAGTTYCAAGAAGCAACACTGCCAGACCTGTTGGAACTACAATAAAGAAGACAACCTCTTCTCATCACGAGAATCTTTCCAGCAAGAAGCATAAAATCAAAAGCTACAAAAATCGCCACCATCATCATCATCATCACAAAATACACCATCATTGATAACTTAAGGCGTCAAATATCTGGGCTAACAAGCCAAACACATCATTCGAAAGTAATGTCAAACGKAATATATGAATAGAAAGGAGAAAAATGAAATCAAATTTGTGCGTACTGATTTTCACCAACAATATAGTGTACTGAAACTGTACAATTGTGTATTAGCATACCCGTATTTGTATGAATTTATGTATATATTAACGCATACACGCGAAAATTTATAGAACTTACTACGGTGAATGATTGAGAAACCACATGCATGTATAGATTGTTTTACTAATGAAGCGAAATATAATTAAACATGCAGTTTAACTATTTACTTGATCATTATAAAGAACTTTGAACTTGAATCAATAGATACTCATAAAAGCAGAAGTAAAGATGCCAAAACATCAAAACAAGTCATTGAAAACTAGCGAGTCATTAACTTTCACTTAGCAACAATTAAAACCAAAACGTTGAAGCAGGTGTCCAAAATTACTTATATTTGACCAAATATTTCGACTTCAGAATATTTTAAGGTGTTTCCAGCGGGATCGCAGTGAAGTGCCATGGAATTAATTTCTTCAAGATTCGGAAACAAGCCATTTTCAAGTCTCTGATTCTTGCGATGTACACAAGTGGAATTATTGCAGCGACAACAAACGTTAATAAATACCCCAAAACTGCTACTGCATGCAGTGTTTTAGACTCGCGGCTTATCAGTGCTCTAAAGGCCATGAAGTAAAATATTATAGGTACATATACCATTACACTTAGAACAAGTACTATTACCAATGTCTTYAGTACCTTTTTATACTTAAAGACTTCAATAGGCGATAGTCCTCCTTGTAATTTGTGCTCACTTCGCGGGCCAGCCCYAGTAGCCCATGWACGAGCGTGGATGTTCAGTGTTCGATACGCAACCACATAGCAAGCTGTTATGGCCAAAAGACATACCATAAACTCCACGCCGTTTAATATAGTTTGTGAAGTAAAAGGCACGAATACTGATATCAAAGTCTGCATTATTGACCAAGCCATTATGCATCCGAATYCCAGGTGAACRCGAGAACGAGTGACTACAGTTTTGTAAGTCATCTTCCGTTGAACAGCCAGGAGTCGATCCACTGCAATTGCAAGCGATATTAGTATTGATGCCGAGAAAACAAAATTTGAGCTGGCGTACACTGAAAAAAAGAGATGGCAGATATCGTTTGATGCTTCATTGGCTATAGCTATGGATATAGRGGAAAYACACAGAGGTTGGACGATGAACGCCATACCCAAGTTACTTCCTGTGAAGAATAAAAGGAGAACATATGAAGGAGCTTGATTTAAGCTTGGATTTGAGAGGATTGCAACGATGATCAAGATACTGCTAGCACTGTTGATGATAGATGTAACAACAATAACAAKRCCAACAGCAATGGCGATGTTTTGACCGCTGGAKATTGGAAATGTTGAAATGTTGAATAAGTTGTTATGTTTTTCGATGCAAAGAGAAATATCCATCTTTCTGTTATCAGCTTGCAYGAGTGATTCTTTATTTATAGGGCAGTAATGCCACTGTTTTTATGRATGTGTTAACAATGAACATATCCTTTAATTTGATGATGATTTTTTGTTCTCGTTGAAGTGATTAACCATTGTTTGTCAAWTCAAAGCCAAACACTGAATACACTCATTACGGGTACGCTTAAATCTAGAACAAGTGACTTGTTCCCCGATGAATAGCTAAAACTTTATTTAATCATTATCTACAGTTCTT